TCCACTCAAGAAACATTCAAAGAAAAACTAAAATTATTATATACAAAACATTGCTGAGGCCGGTCCTCACATATGGAGCAGAAACATGGACTCTAACGCAGAAAGATGAAAGATTTTTGGGAATATTTGAGCGTAAAATACTCCGCAAAATATTTGGAGATGTAAACGACTAAGGGCAGTGGCGCAGAAGATATAATTTTGAATCATATCAGCTCTTTGATGAGCCAGATTTAGGTTAGATGGAGTAGAAACCGACTTATGAATATTAAAAATCAGAAGATGGCAACATGTTGCCAAAAATCGAACAGAATGGCGACGAATCTTAGAGCAGGCCAAGATCCACAGAGGATTGTCGAGCCAAAGATGATGATGAGAAGCTTATTGATTTACCGCTGGTTGAGAGTCCATGTTTCACTGCCATATGTAATAATTGTGGGTGAATAATCGACTTGGACAGTGTTAATTTAGATTTTCTTTTTATCAGATTCGATCTTAAAAATGTTGAAAGGGAGTTTAATGCTCTATTTTCCGCAGCTCTCCTTGCTGAGACCTCTTTTTAGTGCCTATTATGTCTGGATCAATTCTATTGTTTTCCAAATATAGTTTTCCTCGTTCTGTCAAATCTAGTGAGCCGGCAATATCGTCTCTAAGGGTTAATTTCTATGTCTTTAATTTTTAATTTGTTTTCTTGAATTATTTTTCAAATTCACAATTTCTAATGTTTCATCAGTCATCTATGTTTTTTTGCCTGTTAATTTGTGTTTTTGGGATTGTCTGCAGTCTATTTAATTATGGATTGTATGTATTGACAATCAGTGTGACGTTTTATCTTTTGCCTCGTTTCTTAAGCTCGTATTTGGTTTATTTTTGAATTTGGCTACAAGCAAGGTGCGACCGGTGATAAAATCTTCTTCGGGATGTTTTTGCCCATATTGACTCTCCAAAGCAGGACACTATTTCGGTATCTTTGATTAATTATAATAATTATGGGGTCAAGCTGATTTCTTATGATGTAATTTTCCTTATGTGTTCTAATCATGTTCTATTTTTCACAAAATTGTAGCAGTTTGTCGCCTCTTTCATTCCGCAGTCCCAACCCATTTTCTGCAATGATGGTTTTATAAAGATTTGTAGATCTTTATTAGGGAGGTATAGGCAGGTATGGGCAGACAGAATGTTTATCGGCATCTAGTTTAGGTCTGTAATATTCAGCATTATCAGACAAAGATACCTCGTGTAGATTGTGGCTCTTCGCCACGCATTATGGTTTTGACTAGAGAGAGGCTGAGACTCAATTTTAAGGAGTTATATTCGCTTCATCATTTGTAAGTAACATTAAAAAATAATGAATTTTTTTGTTTCAGGACAAAAATATGCAATGTTGGAGTTAAAATCTGCTTTGAGTGGTATACTTTGCAATTTCAAATTGGAAGCAGTTACGAAACCTTCAGATATTATCCATAAAGGTGATATAGTGTTGAGACCGTCTAATGAAATAAAAGTTAAATTTGTACCAAGAACGCAGAAGAAATAGTTCTGTTGCGCGAAAAATTGTTCATCACTTCTAAATATTTATCACTTGCCATTTCATATTATCACCTATTCTGACTTATTATAACAGAACATCACTTATCATTTAATAATCTAATTTTGTATTCCTAATTCTCGTGTAAACGTTGGTTATGCAGATCCTCGAAGTTAATTGTTGTTTAGTTGGATGGTATAGCAGACATTTATTTTATTGTTAATTTTATATTATATTAAAAAGCAATAAAAAATAAAACATTTTTTTTATGGTTTTTTTCTTATTTTGTAACAATTTTTCTTTCTGCAGGGGCAGCTATTATCTATAATTTTGTATAGGGGGAAAGTTCGTTGTTCTATGAATTTAAACGTGACAATCGTTAAAGGCTGCCATATTTGCGTATGCTGGGTCTCATAAAATTACAAATACTTTTAATTAATAGAGAAAGGAAGCTGGTAAAGACTGGTTCTATGGGAATTTTAAAACGAAATACTGAAGTAAGTGTCATCGCCAGGAACCTACCCATATTAATCTAATTATTACATTTAATGTCAGCGAATTAAAGACGTTCTTTCATAATCTGGCGTAAACAAACGACAGATAAAAATTTCGTCCTCTTCGTCCAGTTCACAAACCTGGCGAAATACTTGCTCCTAAGGGCATTAAACAAGTAGGGGGATAAGTAAGGATATCTTCGGATTCAAGTCACTATTCAAGACGATTTTTGATTAATCTCTTTAGAGTTTTTAGTATACAAGAACTTAAAGATATAGGTCTGTATGATTCAATATTGTTATCTGGCTTCTTTATAGGCAATACAATATAGTCCTTCCATGTTTTGGGAATTAAGTTATCATTTTGCCATATATTGTTAACAATTTGTAATATTTATGATTTGTATTCATCCCTTGAGACGAACTATTTATTTTGTTTCAGTCCATGATTTAATTCCCACAATTCAAATGGTTTTTGCATCCAATTTTTTGTATTCAATTAAATTATGAATATTGGGATTTGTTCTACAACGTCTGTATGCTTTTTTATGGTTATTTGCAGATGTTATTATCCCACCATGGTTTTGGAATCTTTTCTGTAGGATATTTTTTATTTTTTGATACTTTTGGAATTGCAATGGTTGCGCATCGATTTATTTCATTAACTAGTTGCTCATTAGTTTGAGGAAGTTCTTCTTAAGAAAAATTGGATGAATACAAATTCCAATTTGCTTTATTTAGATTCCATCTTTTATGTGTATTGCTACCAGGTTGTATTGCTCCTTTGGAATTTTCCAAGGCGATGGTTAAGGGAAGATGGTCAGAACCATGTGGATCCTGAATAACAGACCTAGCTAATTTAGATATAATGTCCTGGATGCAAATTTTTATATCGATTGCTGATGGACTGGAACTTAGTGCAAGAGTTGGAGAACCATAATTTAAGTACAATAGATTACATTACTCTATCGCCTCTAATAAAACTTAACTAAAAAAAAAACTAGACTAAAAAATCTAACTAAATAAAAATAAAACACAACTTGGCATGAGGATGCGAAACTAATGATACTCACGGTAGAGTAACACTAGTTTCGCATCCCCATGCCATATTGTGAGCGTTGAAGTCCCCTCCAATGATGAATGGCGGAGGAATGTGTTGAAAAACATGGATACGTTCTTTAACTGGTTAAAGTTAAAGAATGTATACGTAGTTCTTTGTATATGGATATTATATGTATATGTTTAACAGCAATGCATGTGTAAGTAAAATTATAATTATGTAATAAATTAATTTCTTCTGTAACCATTTTATCTTTAATTAAAATTTCTGTACCTCCATACCCATCTGGGCGATCAGATTTAAAGCAGTTATAACCAGAGAAGATATAAAATGTTCCTGGTTTAAACCATGTTTCTGTTAACATTACCATGTTTATTAAAAACTGCTGAGCGGCAGTTCCATTGTAAAAAGTTTTTAGGGCTAGTTATGTCTGAGAAGATGACGTTTGACCAAGTAAGTCTTCTTGCTAGATCGATGCCGTACCTAAGTATTTATTATTTCTTGTACAATCCCTATTTTTGATGTGTTTAAATTTTTAGTGAGTTTTAATGAACTAATTATATATTAAGAACGAATTCTAAAATTACATCTATACTAATGATATTCCTTGGGTCTGCAAATTTGTTGTATTTCTATTCTCTGTATTTGATTTTTCTAGACTACTGCTGGTATAAAACATTTGTGAAGAGAACTTTTTTGCGAACAAACCTGCTTGATTTGGAGTTCAGATAGGACTGATCATTGTTATTATTAGGAGTTGGTTGACAAGGAAGAACTATTATGTCTGGCGCCGATATTGGCATATGAGATTTTCGGTACTTGTTTACAGGCATCAAAGAAATTTAGATTTAATGATGACATAGTAATCTTGATTTGTTTTTGCCTAAAGAACGCAATGCATAAGAGAAACATAATAAAAATTTTTGAACATACAGTTCGACTTCTTTAATAACTTTTTTAATTATGATATATTTTGGAAGAGTTTGTACTTTAAAATTTACAATACATGATTTGGTTGGAATCTTGTCCATTACTGTTTTACCTTCGATATATTTTTCTACGTTTCTATTTATTCTTCTAATCTAAACTACTTCAAACTTACAGTGCATATCGTATTGTTTAATTTTATTTTTGACGTATTCCTCAGAAAATTCAGTATCTATATCTCTAATTATACCCTGTCTATGTAGTATAAACTTCGGAACGTAAACATCAAAATTGTTGTGTGTAAATAATGAGCAAGTTTTTTAATTGCTTAAAAAATTCGCTAGTTGATAGTCTTTAAATTTAATTTTGATTCTATTCTTGCCGATTTAATCAATACTAGTAATTTAGCTAACTAAATTCGAAAAATTTAATAGTATAATATCACCGATTTTTATAGCATTTATTTTACCTTCAAAATCAGGATTATCGTTTTCTATATATACATGAAAAGGACCTGTATCACTGCTCTTACATAGAAAATTTTCTCTTAAATTTTCTGTAGAATTATTAGAAGTTTTATTACTTACAGATTCTCCGTTGCTTTTGAAGTTACCGTCCCAAGCGTTGCTTATATTGGATTTTATTTTTTCTATATTAACATCTTCTTCTATCCGGCTAATATCTGGAGGTTTATCCGGAGGTCTCCCCGCATGGTCCATATTCTTTTATAAAGTTTTTTATAATTTAACACTTTCACACTTTGTATATATCTTACACTTACTTTATATAGAGATAACGTTAATGAGCTTCGAACGATATGACTAGCTTTTTCATACCGAGTCCACATGAAGAATGAGGAATAAAGTTGTAGACAATTTAATTTGCAACAAATATTATCAAATAAAATTCTCTGTAGGGTTACTAGTTTACGAAATATAGTGCGAAAACTGAAAAAAATAAATAAATAAAATTGCGTCCTGTCAAAAAGATTTGTGTTTGTTTTCTTAAATTCAACAAATTTATGACAAATAGCTGCAATATTTGGTTAAGCTATTACAATTTGTTAAAGCAAAATCAAAGATTCAAAACATTTAAAATATTAGGTTCATAATACATTGTACATAAAAGGTTTATATTACATATAGATATATATTTACATAAAAACGATCAAAAATTATTTTCTAGGAATAAACTTAATTCTAATTTCGTTAGCTGGTCTAAGAACGATGTCAGCCTTAAATCTCATCTCTGAAGGTCTTGTTACAGGTTCCAGCTTGAAATTGTGTATAAGTCCACAAACAGCCGCTTTCAGTTCCAACATAGCATATTTTTGCCCTAAAAACAATTAAAATACATAGTTAGTATTTTAAATATAAAATAGTTTAAATATTTCAAGAATTATTTAATAATAATTTTTTTATGTCATAATAGTTCATTATTATGTTTCTCACACCCCACGTGTCTCACACCCCAACACGTGGGTTGTGAGAATCCCCACAGTTCAGAGAGTAATCGTTATAAGTTCAAATTTTACTCCAAATGCCAACAAAACTTCAGTAGCTTTCGAATAAATATTTGTCTACAATCTGATGCAGTCAGGTCAGTCGGCAACTAGATATGTCGTGGGTGGTGTCGCTTTCAAGTTGTCTGAGGTTTGTCACACCCCACGTGTCGGAACTCGCAAGTTTATTTTTTCCGTTTTTATTTTCTACTTTGTAATTTTCATTACAAAGTAGAAAATAAAAGAAAAGATCAGGCTCATCACATGCATATGTGAGAAGAGTGTAAAAATGAAGAAGAATTTATTGATCAAGATGATTCAGAGACAGAATACAATATTGACAATGTAAGTATCAACAGCGATTATCTCGATATTTAGTAAAGATCCCAATAACCGAAATATTCGAACAAGAGCAGAAAAGTTAATTACACATTTATTGGGAGTGAAAAATCACGAAAAGCATGCCAAGACACCAATTAAGGACAAATGATTACCTACTGACTTGGTTAACTATACTAACCAACCATGGGAATACATCTGTGATAGAAATCAAGGCTATGTTGGAGCTTCTTTACCTGCCTGGTGCATTCAGAAATAACCATTGTCATTTATATAAATTGTGGAACACTGACAGAATGTCGTGTTTGTTTTTAAGTTAAAAACAAACATGACTTCTTCATGTTTCATAAACCTGCGCATACTGACACGACTATACACTATTCATCATCCCATCCAACACAACATAAACTGGCAGCCTATCATAGTATGTTACATAGATTAACAGAACATAAAAGGGCTTTTAATAATAGAAAAACAGATTCTACATACGCACTTCACCTTCTAGATCACAATCATTCTTTTAATGACGAATTAAAAATTCTTCACATTTAAAATAAAGGCCTTAAGCTATCCTTGTTAGAATCTATGGAAATCAACAAATTAAAAAACACAGATATAGTTCTGAATGACCAACTTGAGACAAACAGTTCTCCCCATGCTAAAAATAGATCACTTGAGAAAGGCAATCAACCGAAACAGCTGTAGTGATAAGTTAAAATAATTTTGTGGAAGTTTGAAAACAAAGTTTTCTGTGTTTTATTATTACAATTAAAAAAATGTCAATATCCAAGTGATGAATATAAAATGATACATATAATAAAATAAAACAAAACACTTCCAGTGTAATGGGAAAAATATCTTACCTATGCAATTTCTGCTTCCAGCACTAAAAGGAATATAAGCATATGGGTGTCTTCCGGATATATTTTCAGGTAAAAATCTATCAGGATCGAATTTTAGAGGATTTTCCCAAATCTCTGGATTACGATGTAGATCGTAAATCAAGATAGCTACTGTACATCCCTTTGGAATAGTGTAGCCACTTTTGGTATGTATTTCTTCTCCTGACATTCTTGAAATATTGACAGCGCTCGGATATAATCTTAAGCTTTCTTTAATACATCTTTCGGCGAATTTCATTTCTCCCAATTCGGCGAATGATGGTTTGTTTGGGTCTTCGGATACTGCTTGTATTTCTTGGTAAATTTCTTCCTGTAAGTAAACAATATTTTTTATATAAATAAATAACTATTAAATAAAACAACAAACAAAATCTATAAAGTACACAGTGAAATTGATAACGCATTTTCTCTACCGAGCCTTCAAGAGCTTGTCTTTATTGTTCCAGTTTTTGTTCTCAATACCTTTCAGTCTTTGTTACGAACACTACATCATCAACATATACTAAGCATTAGGAAATGCTTTTTTGAAGAAATTAGGAAATGCGTAGATTATTGAGAATAAATGGGAACAAAACACCGAGCTGTGATGCTATCCTACTTTCACATGAAATTTATCAGTCTCCTACACACCTATTCCAATACTAGTTGAAATTCCCTCATGACGTCTCTCACAATATTCGCATACTCACCGGGAACTTCGTTCTTATTGAGCGCCTACCTTTCCAGAAACTTTATCATATGCTATCTCAAGATCAATAATTTGTTTATTCCAGTATTTTCATTAGCTATTAAAAATTATATCTCTTGTTGGTCTGCCTTGTAAAGATCCAAATCCAAACTGTTACTAAGTAACTGTGTAACTAAGTTTTATTGTCCTGTAGTTTTTGCAATGTTGTAACCATATTTCGTTGTTTTTCCTTTGTTTTTGTAGATAGTTAACTATTATACTGCTTCTCCATTCGTCGTCAGGCATTTGCCCCATTTCCATAATTCCATTAAACAAACCTATTTTAGTGAACTCTTTCTTGCCATTCTTAAAGCTATCTTCAATTCTCCAACGATAGCATAGTTGAAACTCTTTACTTTTCTTTATTTTTTGAAGAGCTTGAGAAGCTTTCTTATTTGTTACTTTCATGACCCTTGATGTTACCGTCTTGTACTTACTTTTCTATAATCTGCACACCTCACAGCTCTTCACTATTTTGGCCTAGTGTAACCTGATTTAAATATCTTACTTTTTCTGCTGTATGTTAGACAATTTTATACATCTTAGCTTCATCCTGTTTGGTATTAAGTTGATCGTATATATTCATCTCGGTCACTACACTCGGTTAGAAACGCACAACTCAAATTTTGCAAGAAAAATGATACCAAAAGTGAAAAGATTAGCAAAAATACAAAAGCTCTCATGGAAATACGATGAAACCTAAGCGAGAAAGAAAAGGGGAACAAAGAAGAATATAAAAAACTAAATAAAAGAATTTCAGCGGAAATTAGAAAAGATGTAAGAAGATATAAGATATAAGAAAATATAATAGATAAAGTCGGAGAGGCAACAACAGATAAACAAAACATTCTGAAAATAACTAGAGAGTTTTATAAAGATCTATATACCAGCCAAAGACCACAAGACAATTTCCCGACACGAGTAAAGACTCTCAGAAATCAGGGATCGGAAATACTTTTACCCATTACTGTGTCAGAAGTAAGAGCAGCTTTAAAGAAAATGAAGAACCATCGATCGCCTGGTGATGATGGACTCGTTATCGAGACAATAAAAGCAGGAGGAGAAATTTTATTAAAATCAGTAAGCTAACTGTTTAATAAATGCTTACATGCGCGTAAGATTCCAAAAGACTGGAACAATGCGGTAATAGTCTTGTTACACCAAAAAGGCGATATTACTAAATTAGACAATTGTAGACCCATCAGCCTCTTGAAACATATGTACAAACCCGTTATGAAAATCTTAACAAAGAGGCTAACAGCTAAACCTGATTTCTATCAGCCCAAAGAACAGGCAGGCTTCAGGGCAGGATATGGCACAAATGACCATTTGCATACTATAAAGATCTTAATAGAAAAGTGCATCGAGTACAACATACCACTGGTTCTTGCATTTGTCGATTACGAGAAGGCTTTTGATGCTGTAGAGTTTGAAACAATACTGGAAGCCCTAAATCAAAGCCGAATAGATTACAGGTACACGACACTAATCAAAAACATCTACGAGAACGCTACATCAAGTATTCGACTACACGAAGACACAGAAAAATTCAGCTTAGGTCGAGGAGTTAGACAAGGAGACAATATTGCACCAAAATTGTTCACGGCAGCTCTAGAGTCGATATTTAAGAGCACTCAAGGGCAAGATATGGGCATCAATATAGATGGAGAAAGATTAAATCACCTAAGATTTGCAGATGATGTTATATTAATCGCAGATAATTTACATGATACAGATTCTTTGGTGCATTCGCTTAAAAGTATGTCTGAAAGAGCAGGATTAAAGATAAACTTTGACAAAACTAAACTTACTAAACAGACACTTACAAATATCTGAGATACGAAATCGAAATAAGCAGAGACAACCAAACACATAAAATACAGAGGCGAATATGCCTAACATGGGCAGCATTTGGCAAATTAAGCCATATTCTAAAAAGTTCAATTCCCATGTGTCTCAAGCGAAAGGTTTATAACCAATGTGTTTTACCTGTACAAACATATGGAACAGAGACTTTAACACTCACGCAAAAATCTGCGAATAAACTCAGAGTTACACAACGAGCCATGGAACGTTCACTGCTGAACGTGAGCCTTCGAGACCACATAACAAACCAACAAATCAGGTAAAGATCAGGAGTTCAAGACGTCATCGAAAGAACCACGACGCTTAAGTGGAACTGGGCAGGGCACTTAGCCAGAACACAAGATGGACGGTGGACAAGACGTATTATGGAATGGAGGCCCAGAAACTATAAAAGAAGCCGAGGACTACCACCGACTAGATGGACCGATGATATAAAACGTTTAGCAGGAAACTGGCTACAAGCGGCTCAGTGTAGAGAACAATGGAATTAACTCAGGGAGGCCTCAGTGGACGCGATTTGCTGATTGATGATGATGATATATTCATATACGCTTTTACTTTAGCTTTTAATTATACTTTACTGCTAGTTTCGCTTTAGTTTGGCGACATCATAGTTTTGAAGATCTAGTTATACCTACAGTTTCTTCACCTCTCTTTTTTTTACTTCGTTTGACCACTATCAATTCCCTTTATTCTCAAACTTCTTTACTGACAGTTTTCTAAGTATTTTAATAGCAGTGTCTTATAATAGCTGTTTGCCCTGAATAAACCTTTTTAGCCTTTTATTATCCACCATTTGATTTTTTATGGTCCTATTCGATATTTTGTCTTTATTACTTTACTATGTGATATATGATCACATCTGTTGACCGTCTCAAAAAATTAATTAAACATCATACAATATTAAAAGGTTTACCTATAATAAACCTTACCTGAGCTTCCTGTTCATTAGCTAAGAGCATTAGAAGGTGACCCAAAGCTACAGCTGTAGTATCGTGACCCTATAACATTAAGAAAACAATATTATTTACAAATGCATCCAATATATTAACAATTCATTAAATATAGACAAATATTTCGTTTTGATTTGCACCTTGTTTTAATTAAAAATGAATTGTTTTGAACTTATTTTACTTATTAACGACCGAATAAATGAAAGGATATAAACATCAGATTGTTATCTCATTTCTATGAGCTCTGTATGAGAATAATAACTAAAAAATTCTAAGCTAAATTTTTAACCACCACTAGAGCAAGCCGTATTTAGGAGCGGCTTTGGAACGACAGACCATATACAAGTAATAAAGTTCTTGATAGAGAAAGTTACATAATACAAGCCATTAATATTAATATTTGTAGACTTTGAGAAAACATTTGACCCTCGACAGCATACATTCAGGTTAAGAAATCTTACAGCTCTTGACTTCTACAGGTAAACTTGAGTCATTGAAAAACTGGGATTTCTTGAATACAATGTTCTATACCTATCTTTGACTGTTTCCGAAATATTAAGTAAAATGTCAAAATTCACATTTATAAAAGAAAATTATTTATTTGTCGACAGTCGCTAAAACATATTCAAAAACTAAATAACACAAAACTAAACAATAATGTCAATGTAGGAGATGTTCAGCTTTGTAAAATGTTACATTTACTCCATACTGCTATATGGTGTAGAAACCTGGACCATAATTGAAATGTGGATATTTAGAAGACTACTTAAAGTTCCCTAGACAGATCACACAACAAATGGCGAAAAACAAAAAGAAGAAAAACTGCTTATCTGGGTCATATATTTCGAAATTCCAAGCACCAGTTCTTAAAGCTTATTATGGAAGGAAAGATAGAAGAAAACGGGGCAATAAGTCAGCTAAGTCAGTGGGTTTAGTTTTGTATACAATACTTTTTACATATCCCCATAAGAAAAAGTCCAATTGCGTCAAATCGGGGGATCGTGGTGGCCATTCCATCGATCATCGTCTCCCTATCTTCTTCTTTTTCTTTAGATGCAAATCCATTAATGGATGTTAGCGATCACATTTTCCATTAATTCTCTATTTCTTGCAATATGTATCTGAGATTGTATGTCGTTAATCCCAGTCCATTGCCTTATGTTTCGGAGCCAGGACATTTTATTGCGTCCCATTCCTCTCTTGCCTTCAATTTTATCCTCGATTATAAGTTGGAGGAACTGGTATTTTTCATTTCGCATGATGTGACCTAGATACGCCGTTTTCCTTTTCTTGGTGGTTTCGAAAAGTTGGCGTTCTTGGTTTATTCTTTTAAGGACATCTATATTTGTGATTTTCGCTGTCCATGGTATTTTTAGGATACGGCCACATTTCGAAAGCCAGATAAGCCACATTTCGAAAGCTTCTAATCTGTTTACATCCCTCGTTTTGAGTGTCCAGCCCTCTACGCCATATAGCAGCACTGACCATACGTAGCACTTAGTAAACCTTAGTCTCAGTTGAAGATCGAACTCTGAACAAGTCAGTACCTTCTTGAATTTTACGAAAGCTTGTCGAGCTTGCTCAATGCGACATTTTACTTCCCTGTCCGATGCCCAGTCTTCAAAAAGCCACGATCCCAGGTATTTAAATTTAGTCACTCTTTCAATGGACTTAGTATTCAGTGTTATGGTGGAGTTTTTAAGTGCATCTAAGTTTCTGGAGATGCTCATAAATTTGGTCTTTTTGGTATTAATCTCTAATCCCATTCGCTTACTGTATTCTCCGATTATAGTGACAAGTTGTTGAAGATCGACGATATTGTCACAAATTAAGACACCATCATCAGCATATCGTATGTTGTTGATCAATACTCCATTCACTTTGATTCCCATCCTCCAAAGACTCTTGAAATATGGCTTCCGAATAAATGTTAAATAAAAGAGGGGAAAGCACACATCCCTGTCGAACGCCTGTTCTTATCTCCCTATCTACCGATTTGGAAATATTTGGCTGAGGTACTGCCGCACATGGATTGAGTAGTGGGGTGGGGTTCCTTCTTGTTGAAACCATATCATATTCGCTGGAACTTGTGGGTTTCCTGGAGCAGGACACAAGTCGGCCAATGTTGGCACTACATTATTTTAGAGCAATGCTAAATAATTGTCGCCATTTAAATTGCCATCTATGAAAAAGGGTCCTATGATCTGATCTTCAATAATTCCTGCCGACACGTTAACCTTCTCAGGGTATTAAGTATTGCCTTCTCTGATCCAGTGAGGATTTTCTCTGGACCAATAGCGGCAATTTTGCCGATTAGCATGACCATGAAGAGTAAAGGTGCACTCATCAGAAAACAAAAAATGTTCTAATTGGATCACATTGCTCTCTAACATTGCCATCATTTGTTCACAAAAATACGTTCTTCTGTCAAAATCATCTTAAATGAGCTCCTGAGTGTGTATAATTTTATAGGGATGCATTTTGTTTTCTTGTTATATACGAATAACCGATGAATAGCTAATATCGAGTGCTGGGGCTGCTTTTCAAACATATAAATGTGGGTGTTCCTCAACCCCAAGCAAAACATTTCTTGCATTGACAGTTTTTTTTACCTTCCTAACATCGCCCAGGTCGTGAAATTGCTTCTCTATTTAACTAATTGTCCCTTGAGATATGTGCGGCAAATCAGGAAATGCTTCGTGAAATAAACGAGCTAGTTCTATTTGCGTCCGTGTTTTATCTCCATATCCAATTATCTGTATAATTGTAATTTTGTGCATTTTTGTTAAATGAACCATTTTTCTGGCTTGCGGTTAATAAAATTCAAACGACTATAGCACTGACAACTACTTCTGTCATCCCACAATAAAGCATTGACGTTTTAAACCAAAGTAAACCATTTTTGTTATTTTTTTAACATATCAATAAAAAGTTTTTGCTTACTTTATCATTACCAAGATCTAAGTGGACAAGAATTATTAAGACAGTGGTAGCGACTTTCGACAAATAATTTTCTTTTCTAAATGTGAATTTTTGATGATATGATCTGCGGAATCTAAAAATTAATTAATATACAAGGTGTTCTAATTAAAATAAGCAAGTTGGTATTGGCCTCTGTTATCACTGATACACCCCGTATAAGTTTTTATGAAAAAACGCGCAACTATAAATACTAATAGAAGTTTTCGGCCATTTTTTCAAATACTCCCTCATTTATTTATTAGCTAATTTATTCCATTTGGCTGACACACAGTGTATATATAATTGGCGGGTAATACCTTCTTAATTACACCATGAACTATTATTTGTTTTCTATTACTTACAGCTAAAATAAACGTATCTACTTCTTCCCTAATTCCCACATTATCAATATTGGCTCCATTATATTTTGCTTTAATCATCAAGTCCAACAAAGCCAATCTCTTTTTGGCGAACTGAGCATCAGGTCCCTTCTGCAACGATTCATATCTTTCTTTAATAATATTATTGGAAAAGTTGTGTAGAGTTTCACAGGTTTTTTGAGCTTTTTTACCGATTTCCGTTAGATTGAAAAGGAATGAGCCATGAAGCCAGGGTCGAATCATCCTGTAGATGTAGTGTTCGCCGTAATCGTACACTGCTTGTTTATATTCTTGACATTTTGGGTCGTCACGTAAATCTTTTCCCAATGAAGTTTCTGAAAATTACATGCAATGATTAATATAAAAAGACCATAGAATGAATAAAGATGACGATGAATAAAGAAAATAATAGAAAGATATAAAAGACTTCGAACTTTATAGAATATACCAAGAATCAGATATATTAAATATACTAAGAAACATATTAAAAAAAAATGATCACAGGTAACCTTTTTGAAAGAAATGGAACATGATTTTTACGGAATGTAAAAGAAAATATGGCGTTTTGTAAGAGGTCAAAGAAAGGAGGTAAAGAAACTAATAGAACCAAAACACATGAAAAAGGATACGTGGATAGAATAATTTCAGAGCAATTTTCTGAAAATTGTTTCTCCATTTTATTATTACAATTGTCTTATCTTTGACCGTTTTTATTTGCTGTTTATAATCAACTAATTAAAAATAATCAAAAGAATGATTAATTACCTCCAATCGAATACAAAGTAAATTCTGTTATTGGTTTGACCACATCAATGTATGGTTTGTTGCATGATTTTCTTATATCTTCAACAAGAAGGTTGACTTCTTTATTAAATACTTCTACGAACTCCTGCAAAATGCTAAAATGGAAAGCAGGAGTTAAAATCTTTCGTCTTTTGTGCCATTCTTCTCCTAAAAACGTTAAAAAATGTTAATCATTTCAGCGATCACCAGCTTGTTAGATTTATATACAAGAAAATTATAAGTGAAAGTTCGCATATACATATTTACCTTTGCTAGTTAAAAGTCCTTGTCCAAGCCAATTATGAAGAAGTTCGTAGTATACATCTTTTTCAAGATGTTTGGTATTATTCAACAATAACTAAAAACATTAAAGTAATAACAAACTAAAGTCTTTGAGAAACTGTTTAATTATATCCAAATATAAAAGAAATAATGTTAAATACTTCTTTATTGCCGGTCTTAAGCTCAAATAGGAAAGTAGGAAGAGGACTGGTAAATGAATGAGTAGCAGTAGTCATACCAAGTCATTGCTGTTACTATGTGCCAAGCAGTACTGTAACTTACAGTATATCCGTGGGAATATAGGTGAACAGAAGTTTACAGTGCCCTAAACCTGAGACTACATTATAATGCGCTCTATAACTTTCGCGTGATTGGTTGGTGGGTGGGTCCCAATTTAAAAATTGGCGGGTTTCATGTTTATTAAAATGACAATAAAATTGAAGTATTGTGGCACAGTATATCGCTAAACAATTTATTAGCAATATATTGTGGTATTGGTACAAAGCGGATGATATTCACATTTTAGGATTAAGCTGACTAGTACAGTTTTATTAGAAATTTTGATATGCTGTGTTTTTTTAATTTGATTTTATGTGTTTATTTAATTTTGACATGCTAGTGATGCTTTTTTTTATTAGATATATAGATATTGTTTTAAATTTTTTTGTTTAGGTAATTTTTTATTAAGATTTAGAGGTTCCTCTTATTATTTTGATTTCTAGAACATTCGTTACCATTATTATTCTCATTAGCTTTCTCTATGTGGAATCGGCCTCTCTAAGTATTTTCCTCTAAACTTTTCGGTTCTCTTCCAGGGACTAAGTACCTCTCCGCTTTTTGTATGAGATTATGGTTTTTCAGAAGCATGTAATTTCTGTTCATCCCCTTTTTTACTGCCCTACATTCAGTACCATACATCATAGCTGGTCTAAAGGCAGTCCTATACAATTTAGGAGAGCTTTAGACGGGTTTTCCTTCGCCATTGCACCAATAGCGGCCCCCCTCCTTTGATTTCCCAGATTTTTAATAAAGAATAAAGATATTTTAGATATAGCTATTTAGTGTTTTATTTGGTTTGCAATCGTTATTTCCAGTAAACCTCTGCTTCATTTTGTTAACAATGACAATTTTTCATAGCACTCAATTTACAATATATCTTTTTATTATCCTACATTTGTGGTAAAATCTAACAGAATTCAGTGTAAGGTTCTAAAAAATGAAAATGGATAAATGTCAATTTGGATTTAGGCAAGGCAGGTCTACAACAAGCAATTTTTATTAAAAGAGCTAATTTAACAATATAGAGTGAATTTACATTGTATTATTAAACTTGAGAAAGCACATGATGAATATATCAGAAACCTACTGTGGCAGAGATTAAGTAGGAAAGCAGTGCCGGCTGAATATGTGAGTGGAGTATAAGCAAGTAGCAACTATAATAGTGTTAAAACAACTATTATACTGTTAGAACGATTATAGGTGAAACTGGCAAATTTTGTGTAAAAATGGGTGAAAATCAGGGTTTCGCCCATATTTATTCTCATTTGTGCTGGATTAGATAACAACTGAACCTCCTGGGTATTAGTAGAAAAGAGTAGCGGAGACAGGTCCTTGAAGAAAAATGATTAAAATTAAGTTGGATACAAACAAAATATTTAGAATATTCTTTTTAAGATGAAATTTCAAGACCAGATAGAGTAGTTGGCTTGGATAGACTAGAACTCATAAAAGATGATAATGTTCGGCTTTAAGGATTGGTATTACCGTTTTATCTCTAATATTTCAAATAAAGGTAAAGGAAAGAGGCAAATTGAGTGATGTATGATAAAAAAGGTACCAAAAAAACTAAAAGGTAAATTCTATAGGACTGCTTTTAGACCAGCTTTGATGTATGGTACTGAACGTAGGGCAGTAAAAAAGGGGATGAACAGAAATTACATGTTTCTGAAAAACCATAATCTCATACAAAAAGCGGAGAGGTACTTAGTCCCTGGAAGAGAACAGAAAAGTTTAGAGGAAAATATTTAGAGAAGCCGATTCCACATAGAGAAAGCTAATGAGAATAATAATGGTAATGAATGTTCTAGAAATAAAAATAATAAGAGGAACCTCTATCTTAATAATCTTAATAAAAGAATCTTAATAAAAAATTACCTAAACAAAAAAATTAAAACAATATCTATATATCTAATAAAAAAAGCATCACTAGCATATCAAAATTAAATAAACACAATGTCTGAATTTAATTTTACCTGCATATTGTCAAAAGAAAAATAAATTTTAATTTCTAATTAAACTGTACTAGTCAGCTTAATCCTAAAATGTGAATATCATCCGCTTTGTACAAATACCACAATATATTGCTAATAAATTGTTTAGCGATATACTGTGCCACAGTACCTCAATTTTATTGTCATTTTAATAAACATGAAACCCGCCAATTTTTAAATTGGGACCCACCCACCAACCAATCACGAAAGTTAGGGAGCGCATTATAATGTAGTCTAATAAACCTGGATTCTTAAGATATAACAAACCAGTTACTACTATAAAAAATAAAAACAATTCAATGTTCTTATTCTTCTTCTTTTGATAAATGCATAGCTGTCAGTTTTTCAATGTGCCTCCAGTAAGTTGTCATTCCATCGTTTTCATTGTCTTACCACTGATAGTCTTCCTATTGGGGAAGCGTCTCTTGCTGTCTTTACTATACTACTCTATTTGTTGTCATTCGGCTTATATGATCGTTTCGTTCTACTCTTCTATTTCTTACCCAGTTTTAGATGTTCTCCAACCTGCATCTACGTCGTATATCTGTACTACTGGTTCTGTCTCATAGTGTCTTACCATCAATTTTTCCAAGTGTTTTTATATTTTTATTTCTCCATATTGTTTCATTTAGCCAGCCTGAGTCTCTGGTTGCTCTCTTTACTTGATCTTCCACTGCAGGTTTGAACTTTCTGTAGCTACATAATGTGATGCCTAGATATGCATTTTGTCTTTTCTGGGGAAATTAACGTGTTAAATTTTCTGGCGGTTATATTAAATTGGTGCAGCATACGTTGTAAATCATCTTAACTTTGAGAGAGTAGTACTGCGTCGTTTGCATAGCAGATTATTTTAAGTTGTTTTTCTCCCAGTTGGTATCCTTTTTTAGTTCTTACTTTTTTATTATTTCATCCATAATCAGGTTAAACAATACAGGACTCAGGGAATCTCTCTGTCTTACCCCATTGCCAGCTTTAATAGGGTCGGTTAGTTCTTCTTCTACTTTTACTTTTATTGTGTTGTTTTGGTAGATATTTTGGATTATTTTGATTATTCCTAGAGGTATCTCTCTTGCATATAGTAAGTGCATAACGTCTTTTAATTTGACCCGGTCAAATGCCTTTGTGCGGTCCACAAAACATAGATATGCCGGTTTGTTGTATTCTAATGGTTTCTCTTGCACTTGCCTAATTATAAATATAAATATATGCATGATCTTCCCGACCCAAAACGTTGTTGTTCTTCTGCTGGTATTATAATAATTTCATTCATTTTATTTGTTATTACTTTGGTTATTAATTTTAGTATTGTGTTTAATAAATTAATTCATCTGTAATTTAATGTATAGAGCTAATGACCTGACTAATATATAGAGGACTAAATAGTCGAATATTTAGTCGAACAGCAGACTTCCAACTAGAGACAAAGTAACAATAGCTACCAACAGAGAGACCTCCCACATTGTAGTAACCTCAAGAGCACCTAGAAATTGTAACCATACGACCAAAGTAAAAAAGAACTAAAAATACTAAATTTTGACCAGAACATACCATACACAAAGAATTTTTACTCCAATTTAGCAAGTAAGCTAAAAAGTGACTGGCTGATTTATATACAGATATTGTAAAATCAGGAGAAATCCCTATTCACTTAAAAAGCTCACCATTATAGCCATATTAAAACCAGGAAAGGCAAATCATCAGGCCCAAAACTACCGACCGATTGTACTAAGACCTAACCGCAGATGAACAGATCAGATCCTACTCCTAAGTCCTAACAACACATATTGAAGCAGGTTTTCAATCAAAGCAAAAAACATCCGTTATTTTTATTGACCTATCAGCTGCATACAATACTGTCTGGAGACAAAGACTAATCTGCAAAATAATCTATGCAATAATCAAAAGGTAACTAAGCTCATTGATAGCATGCTCAACGACAGACGTTTTCAAGTCACAGTGGGCAACTTTAAAAGTGTCCAAATAAAGCTCAGCAATGGATTGCCGCAGGGAACTGGTTTAGAACCCTTACTGTTCAATTCATACATCGCGGACCTACCTGGGACAACTTCGCAGAAATTTGGCTACGCTAACGACCGGAGCGTTGCATCAAGACATAATAACATGGATATTACAGAAACAATACTAACGGATGTCCTTGCCGTTATGGGAGAATACTTTCGCAAATGGAGGCTACGACTCAATGCAATGAAAACCGAAGTGTGTTGTTTCCATCTGAATAATGCCCAAGCCAACAAAAAACTCTCCTTTCATTTTAAACAAATTGTTCAGTCATAACTCAACACCAAAATATCTTGGAATGACTCTGGACAGAACATTCAGTTTTAAAGAACATTTACAAAGAACGGCAGCAAAACTGATACGCAAAATAATATAGTCAAATATTATTGACACCCAATTAAACCAGACAATGCGAATGATCTCAGGTACAATTACGCGAAACTGCGAAGAAGTCATTATCTTCTCAGAGAATATCGAAAAATCGAGGCTAACCATCAACTATTCATCCACCATGATAAGCTTAATATCGAAATAAATAGACTGCGCTCCAGATATCATCCATTGTTAAGAGCCAACTCCTTACATCAGGAACATTTCAACCTCACCAACGCTTGGAAAAGACAATGGGAGAGCGACTCACCACAGGAAGCACATCAAATGGCTTGTTTCGATCAGAAACAATTATTTTGATAAAATGAAAGGCAGATATTGAGCACCGTTTTATTAATTAAATCTTTTCCAAGTAATTTCGCTTCCTAGAGTATCTTTAGGGGCATTTCTTATATGCATAGGGACAAACATTTTAAAATTATTTTAAAAAAATTAGTCGAAGCTACATTCTGGTCGGCAACAGGAGAGATAATGAGATTGAGAGGAGGTCATTCTCTCTCCTGTTGCCGACCAGATTAAAATCCCTTCGACTAAATTTTTTTAAATAATTTTAAACTGTTTGTTCTTGTTTAGTATAGTGTTATGTAAATTTTATATTTAATTTTATGTTTATGACATTCT